AACTCAGTTGGAACTAGCAGCTTTACTTTTTTCCACTCCCTAAGAGCAACATCTCTTTGATAACCAGCGTTTTTTAATGGTGTCTCAAAATGATCGCTTGTATAGTTTATTTCTTGCACTCCGGAGTCTGAATTTTCCTCTATCCAATGAATTGGGTCAATAAAATTCATACTTCTGTAAAGTATAAGCTCTCTAGAGTAGTCTTTAAATCTACTTGATAGTAACAATGAAAGTTTTAAAAGAATTGTTCTTTTAATTTGACGTATTTGCCCAATTGATTTGTTTTGAACAAAACTATTCATTTCCAGCGTTATGTTGACATATGTACGATTGTCTGCATGTTTTCGTTTATCCCCAGCTTTAGCAAATTAATCTTCGACTTCACTATTGTTGGTGACCATGTAGTGGCTTATATAACTGTCTAAAAACTCGTTGTCTTTTCCAATTGATAAAATTTTGTCTTCAATCTCTAATATAGTATGATTGATTGTTGCGGGAATTTCATGAGGTAATAGCTCATTAGTTTCAAATACTTTAGATGCTGGAATAATTAGTTCCAAACAATCAAGATATCAACCTACTTTATAAAGGAACGAGTGACACTTAAATGACCTTAACAAGCCTTTTACATTAGATACAGTGTTTTTATTTGTCTGTTCGCTTGCATAATTTTGGTAAGCCGTAATAAAAGTTGGCCATGTTTCTAACATATTAAAAACTCCCTTCCTCCTATGTCCAACAAATCGCGTTCCTATTATTTTCGGTAAATTGTAATGCATTATACCAAGGCATTTTGATGCTGCTTCAACTTCCGGTTTTAATTTACCTGAATTTCTTAATAGGTAGTAATTAGCTAGATAAAATTTGTCAATCTGTGCAAAATCAGGTATTTCATTAAATGCATCTTTTATTGCTAATTCAATTCTATGATTAATACAATAGATTTTAATTAACCAGGGACAATTTTGCTGTATCTGTGACAGTACACCAATATGTGCACCAAAGTTTATGCTTGCACCATCTGCAGTCGCACATATAACTTTGTTGATATAATGTTCTTTACTTAAAGTATAATAATAATTATATAATAATGATTTGTCTTACTTATAGTATAATAATGATTATATAATAATGATTATATAATAATGATTTGTATAATAATGGTTTGTGATTATATAATAATGATTTATTATAGTATAATAATGATTATATAATAATGATAGTATAATAATGATTATATATAAATGATTTGTCTGATTCAAATACACTGTTTATACCAGTAGTTAATGAATTTGAATCACTACCACCAAATAGGGACATATCCAACAACTCCATGACCATGTAAATAGGTATCCCATTGCAGACTGTTCGAACCAAAACTAGTACTTTTTCCTTTCCTGTTTTTCTAGGTTAGGCTAGAAAAAAGGTTTTCTAGACTACCATCGCTAAGAATAGAAAAAAAGTTGCACAATTTGAGAATTTCAGCATATTTTTCACGGTCGACGTCTGCACAACATTTAATTATTTCTCTGCCTGTGGAACCATTTTCTTTGCGTCTTATCAAGCTTGCGCCACTTATTTTTGCACACCTCACCTTAAAGATGTTTATTAAACAGTAAAAAATTATAAAAAAAGTCATTACACGTAGCCAAAAACAAAAAATTAAGTTTTATAATTTTATTTCACACATTTAAAAGCAAGTTTAAATCTTAAAAGAACAGAAAAATAAGTATGAGGTATTGTTGAACGGCACGCCATTTCATAAGCAATATTTACCAGGTAACGATAGGAATTTTGTATGCGTGTTTCTTTTAACGTTTAATTGGTTGTAAAGTATACTTTTTGACGATCAACCTGATTTTTGAAATCAACCTGAGGTCATTTATAGAAATAATATAAATTTAGAGATAGATGTTAATGAAGTTAATTGTATATGTATTTTATAATAAAAAGTGATTTTATCCATTTTAATTTAAAAATAAAATTACTTATTTCTTGTTTTAAGATTTTATGCTTTAATGTGCATTGAATATAAACTGCAATTGCATTTAAATTGGAACAAATTTTCTAAATAAAACATTTTTAACCTTTATACTTTTTGCTCCTTTGTTTTCCTCGCATCCTTTATTTTCTAATTGCATTGCATACTGGTGAGCCGTTCCTGATATATGTCTTGAAACACTATTCTTTTTAATACAACTTGTTCTATTGATATACCGTAAAGTAGAAGCTTTTACTGCACCAATGGTTTTTGATAAAATAGTATTTCTATGATTAGCACACAATTTACATGCCATTTTAACAACATAAGTCTTCTCATTTTCTTTGATAGTTTCAATGTGAAAAAGATCCAAAACGTCCCAACTTTTAAAAGTTTTCAAGCTGACTCTTTTGTTGTTCAAAATACTATCCATATTTTAACTTTAAATAATTTGTTAAGAATAGGAATAGTTTTTTATACCTTGTATATTTTTTTAAGATTGTCTCCATTTATATAGAAAAATAAATTGTCATTAGTAAAGTGGTTAATGATGATTTAAGGTTAATTTTTGTTTTCTAATTATTTTTGGTTGCATTAACCAAATATTATTACAAAACAAAAAGGTAATAAAAATTTATTTCATGGGTTCCACAGTGTGCGCATACCTAAGAAAACCTCCATTGTGACATTGCAGAAATGTTATAAGTGGAAGTCATGCTCGACACTTTTTTCAAAATAACAGCTAACTTGGTTTATAAAAAAAAATTGTTAAGTTTTTCAATTTATTTGCCTAATGCGCCGTAGTGGATTTTCAACTCAACATTTTGATTCAAAAATTTGTTTTAAACAATTTTTAGTCTGGATCCTTTATAATTCTTGTTAATATGTGTAATATTTGAAGTAATGAAATAAATTATTTAAAGAAAAGAGACTCTAGCAAAGATTTTTTTTTTTTTTTTATGTATATAAATGCAAGATATTTTATACAATGAAATCCTACTAAAAAATATAACATAAAAACTTGCACTAACAGTAGTAGTAAAATAACTTTTTTTTTTTTTAAGAAAAAAAATTAATGCACGTTTTATTGATGTCCTCATTTAGATATACTTTATATTTTAAGTTTTATGAAATGGGTTATGATTACAGTTTGCAAATTAATTTTTATTTTATTTTTTTACGTTTATTGAGCCTTTTTCAGGGTGTTTGTGGAAATTATTGTGCCAACCTGATGCCGACCTAAAACTGTTTTAGGTCAGCACAATTTTAAAAACAGGGTTTGACACAAACTAAAGTGCAAACATTAAACAATATCATAAAGTTGACAGAAAAAAAATGGTTTTATTTTAATTATTTTGTTTAGAATTCAAATATTCATTTTCAAGAATTCATTTATTTTGCTGTTGTATTTTTAAATTGATATTTTCAGAATTAAAAAAAAGAATTTTATTTTTTTTGCGGTTTTTATTTTAATTATTTTATTTAGAATTTAAGTAAAGCATGCTTTATTTCATTTTTATTTTAATTATTGTATTTAGAATTTGAGTAAAAATTTTTTCTGCTGTTTTTATTTTTATTATTTCATTCAGAAATTAAGTAAAATATTCATTTTTTGTTTATTTTGTTTTTATAATTTTGTTTAGCATTTAAAAAAAAAATTATTGTTTTGTCTTGTTTTGTCTTTTTTATTTTTATTTTTTTATTTAAAATTTAAATATACATTTGATTTGCTGTTTTTAGTTATTTTTATAAAATTTGCCAACCTCAAACACTGTCATGTCAGAATTGCCAAATGCTGACTCTAGCTCAGAGGGCTTCAATATGTATATATTCAGGCTTTCATAGAAAAGCTTGCGATTTCACGTCTTTACACACAAAAAAATATGTTTTAACCATTTGACCACAGCATATTTTCAAAATTTAAAAACGCGCTACAAAAACTTACGTAAACTTATCTGAAAAAAAAATTGTTAAAAAAAAAATCTCAATAAAAGAGAAAATAAAAAAAATACTAGTTAAAACAAAAACACAAAAAAATTAATATATATATATATATATATATATATATATATATATATATATATATATATATATATATATATATATATATATATATATATATATATATTTATATATATATTATATATATATATATATATAATATATATATATATATATATATATATATATATATTTTATATATATATAATATATATATATTTTCATTATTTTCAAAGTTGCTTAGCTTAAACATCAAAAAAAGTTGTCTACGGCCTTGATAGGATAATACTTCAATTTAGTTTAAGTGTTTAAAATTAAGCAAGATTTTGTAGATCAACATTTTTTTATTATTATATATTGTTTTATTGAATCTTTCTTTTTTTAAATAATTTAATTTTCAATTTGAATTATTTAGCTTAAAAGTAATAAATTATTCAGCTTAATTCTGCTTTTAAAAGCAAATCTCATATATTTTATTATTCAGCTTTATTCTGCCTTACTTTTAAAAGCAAATCTCATATATTTTGTTATTTTGTATTAAGTAAAACATGATGGTAAGATTTACAAATATTAAAAGATTATAAATTTGAAAAGATTATAAAATTTAAATATTAAAAGATTATAAAATTTTTAGACTTATTTATATTTCTTTTTTTTAGTTTATTTTGCATAACTGATTTTTAAAATCTTTATGAAAAGATTTGTTATAAGCTTTAAATAAATGTCTACTGCTATAAGAAAAAATATTTTCATATATATAAGTCGTTATGTATAGTATACAAAATGTTAATTTACTGATTATATTATGTAGTGTACAAAAGAAATGATTTTATGAATATAAATTATTGTTGTTATTGTTTAAATTATTGAAAATGTTAAAATTATAATTATTGCTTATATATTGCATATATTACTGATCTTATCAGACTTTTTTATGATATTAATTTAATATAATAAGAGTGGTTAGTGTTTCACTAATTATTTTGAACAAATAGTTAATGAAAAAAATTTTTAACAGGGTTTCCAGCGTGCTCAGTTGACACTCCAGGAAGTGCAAGATCTTGCAGATCGTCAACGCCAACAAATCCTTTACAACAGCCAGGAAATTATGGAGAAACAAAAACAACTAATGAGAATGCACACAGACTTTAAAACACGCTTTAAAATTCAAAATGGATCTCAATCTATGTCTGAAGATATGATTCCTACTGGTCCATCTGCAACTGGATTGAAACAGGCACGCATTTCTTCCCCTCAGTCAACTGCGCAAAGTCCTAGCACCCCAGAAATTAAACCTGAAAAAGAACAATATGCAAGAATGCTTAGACAAACTTATCAAAATATGGGTAAAATGCAAAATAGAAATCAACTTCTGCATGATTTGAACATAAAGAAATTTACTAATATTGAGTTAGGTAAACAGAATGTATTTTTTTATCAATTTTGATATTATTTAGTTTTTATGTATCTTTTAATTTTTCTTTCCTGAGATGCTGGTATTTGTATAAAATGTGTTGTAAATATAGTTAGATCTCTAATAATACAACATTAAGTTTTATTGCTATATGGTCCATCTCTTTCTACATAAATAAAGTTTAACATTAATCTTACTACCATTATTAAAAATTTACCATTAATTAAAATTACTATCATGTTAAAATTACTATCATGTTTGCTGTCAAAAAAAAAAAAAATTCATTGATTTTTGTGTGATCATTTACCAAAGCTACATCTTTTTCCATGATTATTTCAATGCGTTCTAAAAGAATTTTAGCAGATGATGCAAAAGTTATCATACAAAATAAAAACTTTATAATATTATAAAATAAAGAAAAAATTATTTGGATTTTTATCTAAATTAAAGTATTTATTTGTGAATAAAAGTATGTTATTTTTTGCATTAAAAACTCTATCATCTGCAATAAATTTCAATATTACTTTCACACCTTTTATTGCCAACTGTAAAAATAATAAATCAATTTATTTTTGTTTTAATTTGATGCGATCAATCAATCATTTTTTCTGATCAAGCTAGTCAACATCCCTTGTAAATCTTTTAGGCCACATACCCTCAAAAGTTGTCAATATGTCATGCTTGAAAAAATTGGTGGGTTGCATTCCTTATCAACATAATAGACACATTTGTCCATCAAATTGAAAATCTTCAGAGATTAAATTTAGTTGAAATAAATAGTAAAGGTTGACATAATACTTGTGAATGAATGAAAAAAGTTGTATTTCTAAACATTCATCAACAAAGATTGATGTATTGATTGTTACAGCCTTAGAAGTACAAAACAATAGCTAAGACATTTGAATTAATAGTTATTTTCAAAAATTATTTTTTCCCACAAAACAAACACTTTCTTGGCATGTTTCTATAATTTATGTGTAGTATCCAGCTTTTCTATTTGTTTTATCACCTGTAAAACTAAAGTTTCTCCTCATCAATGAACAAAAGTGGCTTTGTGTTATATAAGTGATTAAGTTTTCTGCTTCTTTTTTTTGCTTTTATTTGTTGTTCTATGGGTCTTTTCACGTTATCTGTATTGACCATTCATTTTTTTAATTGATGATCTATTCTCAATTGACTTAAATAGAATTTAAACCCAATTTTCACTGACTTTTCCCTTTTCGACTATAGACAAGTCTCTTTAGTCCTGCTTTTTTTCTTTAGTCCATCTCATATCTTATCCTATCTCACATCTTATTTTTCAAGTAGCTTTAATAGTGATTAACCCTATACTATATAATAACCCTATATTACGCAAATTTTCAATGCAAATTATTAAACTTTAGAGAGTTGTTTAAAATTAAAACGCTAATTGTAATGACTTCAAAATAAGGCAATGATGATAAATCAAAAAGAAACTGATGCAAAGTTGATATTACTTTAAAATAAAAGGAGTTATCTGTATTTTACTGTCTGTTGCCGTTTGACAACATTATGTATGGTTAATTAGTGATAAGATAATTTGAATCAACTCTATTTAACTTATTTTTCAGTCAAGAATATTGAATGCTAAATTTTTAAGAGTCTACTCATTGATGCTTGCTAAACTCAGTGATTTTCATGCAAGGTTTTTGCCAGGCAAACTTAATAGTAAAAAATTGAAATACTTTTAAAATCAGAAAATTAAAATTATCAAGTTAGTAACTAATTGTTTTTGATTATTTGAATAAAGAAAGTTTTGAGACTGAAACAATCTTTAGTTTACAGTAAAAAAAAACTGTGATGGTCATATATAATAAACAAAAGTAATAAAAAGTCCAAATGTTTTTGATTGGTGGAATAAAAAAATTTTCAGATCATATTAGTTTTTTTTTTCAAGTTAATAAGGTGCTCCAAGAAGAGTTATTGGTCTTAACATAGAACACTGCAGGGAGTATTTAACCAGGATGTTCACACTCCTTCCCTACCTACGTTGCTTATTTGGCGAGAGCTGGCATTGACCCATAGACCTCTCTGTTCTGAGCCAGAACTTGAACCACTGCGCCGTGGCTGCTCAAATTTCAGTTTAAAATTTATTAAGTTTTATAAATGAATTAAGTTTATTGAATGAAATAAAATTAAAATAATTCAAAATGGTTATATATTTTTTTGAAATTCAAATAATGCAAGCTTTTGATTTCAAAAGCATTTAAAAAAACATTTCAAGCAATTAATAACAATTTAAGCAATTTTTGCTTAATTTGTTGCTTAAATTGTTACAATGGTCTCAAATGTTTGAGATCATTAAACGTCAAAACGATGTAAAAGTTTTTATTTTAGGTATCAAAGTTGATTAAAATATATAAAGTGTATAAAAAATACATGAAATGTATTTAAAATATTGTAAAATTATCTCAATCATAAAATGAAAGGAAAAAAACCACAAATAATTATTTCATTTAACAAAAAATTTGTATCTGAAGAACCAGCTCGGAAAAAATTAAAACTAAACGAAAAAAAGTTACAATTAAAAACACTTAATATATGGAAATATTATATTATTTAAAAAAAATTGAATCATCCATTTAAACTTAATTTTAAAGCTGTCTTGTTAAATTTTATGTTCTCATAGAGGCAGCTTGTATATACCCTGGTACCATGTTATTAGCTCTACAACAGAATAATAATCCTGTTGGGCAAAAAATTTTTTTAGTTTTGTGTTGAAAATCTTGAGATTTGTTTAACTTCAAAAAAAAGCAGAAGCTTGAAATCTCTGTTGTTCAATTTGTTATTTTAGGTTAATATACACATCTAACAATGTAACTAACTTCCATTAAAAATCTTTTTTTACTAGATTTTTTTTTCTTTTTTTTTAATTATTATTATTTTTTTTTTAAATTATTATTATGTATTGATTTATAGATAATATATTATTCTATATTTGTAGTCTACTATTTTAATATATATAGTTCAAATATTTTTATTTATCTATTTAAAAAACAGTTAATTAAATATAAATAACTTGAATAAGTTTGGTTATTTTTAAAATAATCTATTTAAAGCATTTAAGGAAGTGAATATGTAAAAAAATAAAGGCATATATATAATAATTCATTTAGTATAATTTTGTATATTGTTGTGCATTGTTTTTGATGATTTGTATATTCTCTTATGTTTGTATAGTTTAAGTGTTTGAAATAACGGCTGGTATTATATATATTAATAAATAAGGATCTTTTGGGTAATTGACAAAATATGCTAAAAAACTAGGCATAGTTTATTAGGTTATAAACTAGGTTATTTTCATATTAACTGCAACACAAAGGATGAAAATATTAGGCAATTTATTTAAATGATAATTTCTGAATCCAAAGGTAAAGATAAAATCGAGCTTAGAATTCTTTAAATAAAATAGTTAAAAAACAATAAAAAGAAGATTTAAATATTTTTTGTAAGTAAAAAGTGAAATGTAGATCCATGGATTTAAAAAACTTAAGTAGAAAAGTTAACAATAAAAATATGTATGTTCCATAAGGTAGCTCCAAAAACAGCATTATTGAAAAATGTCTGCTCTCGCTTCCTGAATGTGTACTTTATAACAAAATTTTAAAAATTTTTTTATAACAAAATTTTTTATACTTAAGATCCTTGAAAATTAAAGGTCAAATCAAGCAAAATTTTATAAAAATTTCAAAAAATATATTTAAATAATTTTTTTGATAATATTAATAGCCTATCTTATGTCTATCTAAGGGTCTTAAGTTATCCCTAAAAATAATTTTTTAAGTGTTATTATATAAGACACATTTAAGGGATTTCTCATAACTGTTGTTTTCTGGGCTACCTCATTGGACATACTCTTATTGTTCACTTTGAATCCACGATTTTTTCTAATGAATGATTATATTGAATATATAAATGGTTCTGGAGCTTTATTTTTCCTCAGAACCTTATTTCTTCATGTAATATTTCTATTCAATCTTTGCTTTTTACTGGTTACTATTTCTAATTATAAAATTTATTTTTAAAAGAGATTTTTTTGCTTTTAGAAATCAATCAGCGTTATCTAAAACTTAAGAATAAATTATTATTATCATTTAAAATAAATTATCTTTTAATTTGTATAGCTCATGTCTTATTATTTTATCAAGCAAGTTATTTTCATTTTTTTTGAATGGTTCTGGACTTATTAATGCATTAATTCAACCTTATTAGTTAGATTCTTATTAATTATTAACAACCTTATTAATTATTAACAACCTTATTAATTATCAACAACCTTATTAATTATTAATAGATTCTTTCCTTTGCCATATAGCTTTTCTTATATTATGAATCAGATATTCATTTTAAAATCTTTTTCCTCAATTCTTACTTAATGATGATGATTATGGTAATAATGTTGACGACATTATCATAATCATGATATCATAATTATTATCAAAAACATGATGATGTTGTCATCATCATGTCTTAGGTTATGAACTTAATAAAATTTTGTCTTAGGTTATGAACTTAATAAAGTTCGATCTATCTTTGCTTCAAAACAAAATGAGTTAGCTGAAGCAGTTAAAAAGGTTGATGTGTTAACTCATCAATTAGATAGTCGTAGAAATAGTGCATCTGGAGCATCTGTACCAACACCTGAACGTATTAACAGAAGAAAAAAGATTCAAGCTGCAAAGGATGAAGTGGATCGATTACGAAATGAACTTATAGTCAGTTTTTTTTTTATTTATTTGTAATTTAATGTATATGTATATAACTCATAGGTTTAGATTTTATTGATATTTTAATAAAAATAAAATTATGATAACTTATTATCTTTTATTTAAAAGTTTGCAATCTTTTATTCTTCTTAATTACTTTTTTATAGGTACGGAATGAAATGAGCTCTCAGCAAAGTCATCAACTTCAGCTTCAACGAGACATTATACTAGAAAAAAAAGCTGAGCTGCGAGAGCTTAATAATCGTATGAATGAACTTGGCAATGCTTTAAAAAATCAAAATAATCAACCTGGAAATCAGAAAGAAATAGATGTTTCAAAAGATAATCAGCAGTTACGTTTTAATGACACTTATTTGCAAGATACTTTAAATCGAAAACGCTCAGTAGGAAACAAACCTACTGTAGTTGACATAAATTCGAATATAGTTGCTACTGAAAAGGAATCATTAAACAAAAATTCTGTTGAGCAAGTATCAAAAACTTTGTCAGCTGACACTCCTTTACCTCTAGAGGAATTTAAAAAGAATTTATCTACATTTAAATTACCCAAACCCTTACCACCTCAACGTACAACTCCTGTCTCTATTGTTGAAAAAAAGGAAATTCCTATATATACCACTAAAAGTAATGAGGAAAATATTACATTGCTTCGCCAGGATATAAAAGGTGAGTTACTAGAAGACAAAAAGTCTATCAACATTACACCTCTAAATAGCTTGACTAACTCAACTCCATATTCTGATTTATCACTCTCATTTGATTCAGACAAAATTGTCATAAAGTCAAATGATTCAGCTCTAAATTCAATTATAAATAAATCTGATGATAGTTCTAAACATATAGTACCTGTTAAACCAACCTTGTCAGTTAAACCAATGATGGAAAACAACAATCTTGATAAAATTGATGATAGCAATGCAGCATATTATGTGAAACCGTTAAATGATATAACTGTTTCTGAATATAACAAAGAAATTTTTATTCCTCAGCCTGATTATCCTAATGACTTCCCTAGTGAACCTGACGGATTTGAACTTTCTTTCGCTGATATTGATGAAATTAATGAAACTCAAACAGATCTTTGGACTGGAAGCTTGATTCCTCAATCACCATACGATAGTGAGTCTGATGATTTTGAAAATGTTCCTGTTCCATTAATTATAAGCTTACCTCCTGAGAAAATGCCTCCACCCATTCTTATGAAACCTGATAAACCTAGAAAACCTAAACGTAAACTAGTGCTAGACCCTTTTGCATTGTTGCTTGATTCTGCATTAGAAGGAGAGTTAGGATTAGTTAAAGAAATTTTGAACCAGGTTTCTTTAATTTTACATATTTCACCTTCACTTTTTAGTTGTTTTTTAGCTTTTTTTTTTTCTGTTTAATTTTTTTTTTTTTTTTCACTTGTTAAATTCATTCAAAAATTTATTTTTTTAAATAGTACTTTTAATTAGGTTCCTAATCCAAGTCGTGCTAATCCTGAAGGTATCACTGCTTTACACAATGCTGTATGTGGTAATCATAAAGACGTTGTACGTTTCCTTGTTGAAGTTGGTTGTGATATCAATTCAGCTGACAATAATGGATGGTACATGTTTTTATGCTTCTTATGGAAGTTTAAAAGTTGTATTTACGTTTTTTTCAGTATATTAATTTATATATTTAACTGTAATTTATATATTTATATTTTTTAGGACTCCTTTGCACTGTGCCGCATTTTATAATGATACTGAGTTATGCAGGTTTCTTGTTGAACACGGTGCTTCAGTATTTGCAATGACCTACACTGATTATCAAACACCTGCACATAAATGTTCTCAACTTGATGACAACTATGATAATTGCTTTGGTTACTTGCATGGTATAGTTACTTTTATCGAATTTTTTTTTTTACATTTTAATTTTTTTTCGTCTATTTATTTCTATTCTTTATTAGAGTGTAAAGAAAATGTTGGACGTATAAATGGTGGACTTGTTCACGCTCTCTTTGACTATACAGCTGAGAGCGACGATGAACTAAGTTTTTATTGTGGTGACACGCTCACTGTTTTAAAAAGAGGTGATAATAATGAAAAAGAATGGTGGTGGTGTCGCAATAAAAATGGAGAAGTTGGATATGTTGCGTGTAATTTAGTTGGCGTAATATGATTTCTTTATTTATTTTTTGATTTAAGTACTTTTGCTTTGTTAATTTAGCATCTTTTGGTTTGAAAATTTTGTTAAATTTTTATTTCCTTTATGTTTAGAATTTTCCTCGTATTGCAGCAGAAGTTTGAATTTGTCTACCTTAATTTCTCAAAGATTATAATCTTTAAGAAAGTTCCAATAATAATGGATTTTAATAAGTTTAACGAAGAGCTCGTTAAGGTTTTTGAGAGATCATAAGGTTGCATTCGCGGTTCAAAACAATGATATCGAGGAATCGTAAAAATATCGAGGAATCGTAAAAATATCGAGGAATCGTAAAAAGATTTGCACTGTATGATAAGCTGCAAAATTGTGACGGATGCAATTAATGGCAAACGAATCAAATTTTCAAATAAATAAATTTATACATTTTTAAATATTAAATTTATTTAGTAATCTTTGTTATGTTTTTACTTCAAAGTTTTGTAATATGATTTTATTTTTATATTGTTGTAAATACCTGTAGTAATTGTACATATGGCATGAACTCGTTTTAGGTTCTGGTATGTAAAGTTGTTTTTATTAAATAACAGTTATAGAGATGTTTATTTTTTGATAGTAATTAATCTCAAATAACTTAAAAAAACTTTTTCGACCTTTTTGAATACCTTTTTTAGATAAATCTACCTGAAAAAGGTGTTTTAGACAGCCTGCATACCTTTCAAGTGTTGATCGTGTCGTTTTAAGAATTTATATATATATATATATGCGTATATATATATATACATATATATATATGCGTGTATATATATATATATATATATATATATATATATATATATATATATATATATATATATATATATATATATATATATATATATATATATATATATATATATATATATATAATTAAAGTCCTGGAGTAATTTTATTATATTTGTTATTAAATAATTCTTAATCATCGTTCCGGAACAGCTTTATAATAATTTAGTGGAAAGTTGACAAATTTTTTATAGTTTTGTTAACCTTGTTACACACTTTTATTTATTTATTTTTGCATAACAACAGTTTTATTACAATTTAACATTTAAAAGGTAATACTTAGCCACAGTTATGGACGCTAATGTCATTTTAAGGTGTAATAAATGAATATCAAAATAGGTGCAACACAAAACTTTTTTATTACTTAAGTGTATCAAATTAAGTGCATCTTTTTTGGAGTGGGTTAAGGAAGCAAATGAATGGTCATAAACTGTTCTTAAACATGTAAGGAAGCCAACACACTTAGTTTTACGGCGTAAACCGACATATTCGAGCAACAAATTAAGTAAAATTTGGTTGCTATAGTATCTAATTTTACACAGCAACAACTTATTTTTACATTAACGTTATTTTAACAGTTTTTTATTCGTGCTATGTACACCATATCAAATACCTGTATTAAAATGAGATTCACACTTGTTACCCAGTCAGGAAGTTAATATCAAAATGATATAAAACTATGAGATATATGGTACCATGATATGAGACATTTATGATATCATTATAATATCAAAATAAAATCACTCATTGATATCATTTTGGACTCAAATCCTAATATCATAATATGAGATGTTTATGATATCAAAATGAAATCACTCATTGATATCATTTTAAACTCAAACCCTGATATCATAATATGAGAAATTTATGATACAAATATGATATCAAAATGAAATCACGCATTAATATTATTCTGAACTCAAAACTTGATATATACGATAATATGAGAAGTTTACGCAAAACTTGTAATTATAATAATTCCGCTATAATTATTTTATTTAAATATATTTTAATAAAAAAAGCATTTTATTATTATTTTAATTAATTATACTTTTATAAATAAAATTTTATTATTATTTAAAAAAATTTTCTATTTATTTAGTTAAGTTAAATTATATTGTATAAATAAACATTTTTGTTGAATTTGATAGACTTCATATTATATATATTAAAATATAAATTCAATATTATATTACATAGCGCTTTGAAAAAAAGTCAATATAATTATTGAAAGTTTTGTTTGAAAAAAATAATAGGTAGCATATATTCAGGTAAAATCTTAAAAAAAGAAATACAGAAAATGTCACAAATTTGAAGAACGATTTTTGACAGATATATATTAAGAGAGATTGAGATATGGGCTCGGCTAATGCATTGCTTTAAATTTACAATTGAGTTTTCGACAGATATCAAGACTTGATCTAAGAGTCACTTTTTGAATGTTGCATTTTAATTCTTTTCCAAATCAAATTTAGATTTATTTATCGTCTGAAAACGATGTTGCGAGCTAAAAATATAGTAAACAAAAATATTAGCAACCAACAAAAATCTAAATTATTGCCTAAATATTAACAAAATAAAAATGATTTTTACCTTATCAACAAATTTGTTTTATATTAAGTTTTGTAATTTTTTTTCTGATAAGAGTTAAATATTGCCATTACACAAGCTTCATTGCTTTGCGATTCAAATAGCAATTATAAACCTAGAAAACCTAGAAAAAAATAATAAAATAAATATTATATCAATGACTTATACAAAAGCATTAAAGAATGTTACAAAATTAGTTCAGTTTGCATAAGTTTACAGTAAAAGTTGAAAACTAGGTCTACCTCAGGCCTGTACCTCAGTATTCAAAAAACACTAATAAGCAGTCTCCAAAAGTTTTTAATAGATAAATAATTTAATTTCGCTCAAAAAATTCAAAAAGTTCAAATGACTTGTTAATGTAAAATGTAAATATACAATTAGTGTAAATAAATCTTGTGGGCACAATAAAGTAAATATAAATAAACTTTGTTCAAGTGGTACTATATAATTGACAGTACTGTCAATTATATAGCAATAAAGTTTAACAAATAATGATCTTCCTAAACTCTGGAAAAAAAGCAGACTTATAATAGAACATGTCATTGTTTTTATATATAAATATATATTTATATATATATGTATATATATATATATATATATATATATATATATATATATATATATATATATATATATATATATATATATATATATATATATATATGTATATATATATATATATATATATATATATATATATATATATATATATATATATATATATATATATATATGTATATATATATATCTCTCTCTATATATACATATATATATATATATATATATATATATATATATATATATATATATATATATATATATATATATATATATATATATATATATATATATATATATATATATATCTATCTATATATATATATATATATATAGATATATATATATATATATATATATATATATATATATATATATATACATATATATATATATACATATATATATATCTATATATAGATATATATATATATATATATATATATATATATATATATATATATATATATATATATATATATATATATATATATATATATATATAAATATATATAAAGTCACCGAGTATTCTGAGCTACTACTTGAGAAAGATATTGTATTATATTTTTTATAGCTGATATCATAGGCTAAATGATTTAAACAATGAAAATTATAAATTAATTAATAGATGATCAGAATAGAACATTCTGGCATTGTTCTCAAAGCAACAAAGAAGTTCATGAACATAAACTTATTGAGTCAATTAATCTTTTCTGTATAGTTTATGTTCAGTATAAGCTACACTTAAATTAACAGTTAAAAAATGAATGTATTAATTAAAAAAGTTTTGGCTCAGAGGCTTTTCACAACCTCATATATTTTAGACTTGGTTTTACAACATGGTTTACAATTAAATTCCATATAAATGTATTCGTTCAAGGAACTTAAGTAAACAAGTAATTAATTTGCCCAGATGACAATCAAAGAAGCAGCCCTTTTCCCAGATAATGTATATTTTTATTACAAGCAAGTCCCCACCTTAAACTATGTTGAGAGGGAACTACTGCACCATATCTACTTTAAATGACTTCAAAACACTCATATCCTTGTAATGATTTAGAATTCTAAATGTTTTAGCAGTGAGTACCAGTGGGCATAAAAATTCATTCAACCATTATAGGTTTATTCTACCTTACAATCACATCCATAATGACCATTATATAGATTAAATAAGAGCTTTAGCTGCTGCATCACAAACTAAAATATTTTACCTCTTACTTGTATGACTTTTCCATTATTATAAATTATGTCATTTGCCATGAGGGTCTTCCATAAAGTATGGATGCAGGTATGGGGGGAGGAGTTTACCCAAAAACTTATGAATGCAAGAGAGAGAGAGAGAGAGAGAGAGAGAGAAGGGGGGTTAAATACACCAAGTATGTACATGGTGTGACTAATTCTCATTCTCTATGTATTTGAAAACTTGCTTTCTTTTTTTATTAAGAAAAGCATAGAGTTTTTTGAGTTTAAAAAATTATTAAAAATAACTTTGTTATGAGTGATGTCACAATAACTAAAAAAATTTTGTTTTTAATCCTTTGAAAACATCATGGGTTGGAAAAAGGTTGGGAGAAAGGGGTTGAATGTGTAATAATATATATGCATGCAGTGGAAGGAGAAGGGGAGCATAAAAAGCATACAGGTGCGTACAATGGGAAGGGGTTCTTTAATCAACGGTTTTACTACATACATACTTTATGTATGTCCCCCTAAGATTTCCCCGTGAAGTCTTTTAAGTTTTCTAAACAAGCTGACTTCTGTAATTCACAAAACAACGTCATAACAAATGGAATTTTAACAAATATTGTCATTATGACACTAGATTGACCAGAGAAACATATTTGCACTTTTATGGATTAACAGTCTCTCAATGGTTAAAGACTAACTTCACAAAGTCCATAGTATTGCATAGATCTCAAAATACCATCTTTAATGTTTTTTATTACTAACTTTTATCAAAACACCATCTTTTATCCTAAAATATGTATACTCACTAACTAAACCAATAAAGAAGTAATATGATGCAACTAAATACAGCTAAAGAAAAATTAAATATAACATTTAAGTAAAAATAAAATAATTGCAAAGAAATATCAAAAGTATTAAAATTCAATACAAATAATTAAACTTTTAAATAAGTCTAACAAATGAAATATCTTGGAAGATTTACAAACCTAACTTTATAGTAACATTTGAGTTTTAAGGCATTTTTAATAGCGTCATATCTTGTGCTAGAAGATCTACACAAAAGTGTCTAAACGTAGTTACTTTTGTTAGAATAATGAATATTTAACGGTCCATCGACTAAATGTCAGCATAATATTTTTATTACTTTCATAATTACTGCTTTTACTATTAGTGGGAAGTTCTTAAATCCTTTTCTGCTGCATTTATAGATTTCAATCTTAATAACTCCTAGTTATAGGATTTAAGTCCTACTATTATGGATTTTTGTCCTATTAAAGCCTTCTATTAAGCTTTATTAACTGTATTTAAGTAACCAGAATTTTTAACTTCTACATTTACAAAAGGCATTTATTAACTATGCTAATTTGAAAGTCTTTCTAGAAGCAAAGCTAATTCATTTGTGCTTTCCTTCTTTGGAACTTCTTAAATAACTTTTGTTTAAAAATTC